CCAAATTCCTAGCTGGAGAACTCGGAACAAACGTTACTCTTAAGGACCTCGAGCCAGAGCCAGAGCCCGAGCAGACCAACCCGGGAAGAGATCCCGAACCAAGGAACCAGGAGTCTCAGAAAAGAACCCGAGGGACAGAAGACGAAGACCGAGATGGTACGCGACAGAAGGTTTTTACCATAATGGGTGGATCACCATACTGTCCCGACACCGTTGCGGCAATCAAAGCTTATCAGCGCCGAGCCGAGACGCCTAGCAACTGGACGAGACGCCTTGATCGACCTAACGACGTGATCACGTTCGAAGAAAGCGAGACGAACGGGCTCGACATGCCTCATAACGATCCAATCGTCGTCACGTTGGCAATAGGAGACCATGATATTTACCGAGTGTTAATTGACACCGGCAGCACCATCGACGTGATCTTTCGCGAAACACTCCAACGAATGAACATCGACATGTCACAGGTGATCCCGACCCCGAGGCCTGTCCTCGGATTTTCAGGAGAAACTTTGATGACGCTTGGGACCATCCAACTACCAGTCCGAGCCGGCGGGGTAACAAAGATAGTCAACTTCTCAGTCACCGATCGACCTACCATCTACAACGTCATAATGGGAACCCCGTGGTTAAATCTAATGCGAGCTGTCGCATCAACATACCATCTGTGTGTCAAGTTCCCGACTCCTAATGGCGTGAAAACGATTTGGGGCAGCCAGAAAAATTCTCGGATGTGTTTCATGGCAGCACACAAACTCCGAAATCCTGTCACTGAAGTGAAGGCTGAAACAGATCACAAGAAATCGAAACTTGGCCGGAGTGAAGAGAAGGCTATATCTAAACAGTTATAGCAATTACAGATCGAGGAGGCGCGCGAGGAGAAGAAGCCTACCTCGGATCCTGTAATCTCCATTGGGCTCGACGACGAACGACCTGAACGATGTGTGGAAATTGGCAGCGACTTAACCAAGGAGCTCAAGACCGAGCTCATCTCATTCCTCAAGGAGAACATCGACACATTCGCCTGGTCGGCTGAAGATCTACCTGGGGTAAGCATCGACGTAATCTGCCACGAGCTGAATGTTGACCCATCTTTCAAGCCCATCAAGCAGAAGCGAAGAAAATTGGGTCGGGATCGTGCAGATGCAGTGAACGCCGAAGTTGAAAAACTCCTGAAGATCGGCTCGATCTCTGAAGCAAAGTATCCGGACTGGTTAGCAAATCCTGTCGTGGTTAAAAAGAAGAATGGCAAGTGGAGAGTCTGCGTTGATTTCACCGATCTGAACAAAGCTTGCCCTAAAGACAGTTTTCCGCTCCCACATATCGATCGTTTAGTGGAAGCAACCGCGGGAAATAAGTTGCTATCATTCATGGACGCTTTCGCAGGATACAATCAGATTCTCATGCACCCCGACGATCGCGAGAAGACAGCATTCATCACAGACCGAGGTATCTACTGTTACAAAGTCATGCCCTTCGGACTCAAGAACGCCGGCGCGACGTATCAGCGACTCGTCAACAGGATGTTCTCCGAACAGCTCGGGAAGACGATGGAAGTTTATATCGACGACATGTTAGTCAAATCTCTTGAAGAAAGCGACCACATAGCCCATCTACGCGACTGTTTCCGTCAGCTCAACAAGCACAACATGAAGCTTAACCCGGCAAAATGTCGTTTCGCGGTAAAGTCTGGAGAATTCTTGGGATATCTCGTAACACACCGAGGCATCGAGGCGAACCCGAAACAGATCGATGCCCTACTAAACATGCCCTCACCGCAGAACAAGCGCGAAGTCCAACGTCTCACCGGGAGAGTCGCAGCCTTGAACCGATTTATCTCGCGATCCACTGACAAATGCCTGGCTTTCTACGATACTCTGCGCGGGAACAAGAAATTCGAATGGACCGATCGCTGCGAAGAAGCTTTCCAGGAGCTGAAGAAATATTTGGCTAATCCACCGGTGTTAGCGAAACCAATCCCGGGCGAGCCGTTATTCCTGTACATCGCAGTCTCCGACACGGCTATAAGCGGAGTCATAGTCAGGGAAGACAGAGGGGAGCAGAAGCCGATTTTTTACGTCTCGCAAACTTTCACCGACGCGGAAACACGCTACCCACAGACTGAAAAACTCGCCCTCGCCGTAGTAATGTCAGCTCGGAAGCTACGGCCATATTTCCAGTCTCACTCGATTGTCGTCATGGCGCCCGTATCGCTCCGAACCATCTTGCACAGTCCAAGCCAATCGGGACGCTTAGCCAAGTGGGCAGTAGAACTCAGCGAATATGACATCGAATACAGAAACAAAACATGCGCGAAATCTCAAGTCCTGGCCGATTTCATCATCGAGCTGCCAACAGAAAACGTCCGAGAAAAGTCACCCAACGCTGTTTGGAATCTCCACGTCGACGGCTCGTCCTCAAAACAAGGTTCTGGCGTCGGAATCCGCCTCGCATCACCAGAGGGTGAAATCCTTGAACAATCCTTTCGGCTAAATTTCGACGCGACCAACAACGTGGCTGAGTACGAAGCGCTGATAGCAGGACTTAAGCTGGCTCGGGGACTTAAGATCAACAAGCTGCGAGCCTTTTGCGACTCCCAGCTCGTGGCTAATCAATTCAATGGAGAATACGCGGCTCGCGACGAACGAATGGAAGCATATCTTGCTCTCACGCAAGACTTGGCGAAACAGTTCGGAGAGTTTGAGTTGAACAGAATCCCACGAGGCGAGAACACATCAGCCGATGCCTTAGCGGCTCTAGCTTCAACCTCCGACCCAAATCTGAAGAGGATCATACCGGTTGAATTCATCGAAAAGCCGAGCATTGAAGATAATAGCAAAGATCAAGTTCTAACAGCTCGGGAAACGGAAGAACCGGAAGAAATGGACATCGAACAGCTGGACCAGCAAACTACGGATGCAACCGAGCCCGAATACGGAAGCGACGCCAAATGGATCGGAGCCATCCGAAGCTACATCGCCGACGGAGAAGTTCCTACTAAAAAATGGGCAGCTCGGAAGCTTAAGGCCAAAGCGGCTCGGTATACTCTGATCGACGGAGAGCTCTTTAAATGGCGATTTTCTGGTCCTCTCCTTGTCTGTGTCGAAGGAAACGAAGCTCGAAGAGTCATGGAAGAAGTACACGGCGGATCTTGTGGAAACCATTCTGGCGGAAGAGCCCTAGCCATAAAGATCAAGCGCCACGGATATTTTTGGCCGACGATGGTCAAAGACTGCGAGAAATTTTCTCAACGGTGTGATAAATGCCAGAGGCACGCACCAACCATTCATCAACCCGCCGAGCTCCTCTCTTCCATCGCTTCGCCTTATCCGTTCATGCGATGGTCCATGGACATCATCGGACCTCTACACAACTCCAAACAGAAGAAACTCGTCCTCGTACTAACAGACTACTTCTCCAAATGGATCGAGGCAGACTCCTACGCCAGCATCAAAGACGCGCAGGTCGAAAACTTCGTCTGGAAGAACATCATATGCCGCCACGGGATACCTTACGAGATCGTTACAGATAACGGATCGCAGTTTATTTCGGCTCGGTTCGAAGGATTCTGCGAGAAATGGGGAATTCGCCTCAGCAAGTCTACGCCCCGGTATCCTCAGGGGAACGGACAGGCCGAAGCGGCAAATAAGACGATTCTCGACGGAATAAAAAAGCGCCTCGACGCAAAGAAAGGCCGCTGGGCCGACGAATTGGAAGGAGTACTCTGGTCACACAGAACCACGCCACGGCGAGCCACGGGAGAAACACCTTTCGCCCTTGTCTACGGCACGGAGTGCGTGATTCCCACCGAAGCCGAGATCCCGGGACTAAGAAGACGTTTTCTCCCCGAGCAGGAAAATTCCAACACTCAGATGATGCTGGACGAGCTGGACTTAATTGACGAAAGAAGAGATTCGGCTTTGGTCCGAATGCAGAACTATCAGAACGCAACGGCTCGGTACTACAACTCTCACGTTAAACATCGCCGTTTCCACGAAGGAGATCTCGTACTGCGCAAAGTTTTCCAAAATACCGCCGAGCAAAACGCAGGCAAACTCGGCGCGAATTGGGAGGGACCTTACACGATTGCAAAGGTGATCCGTCCCGGCGTCTACGAACTCATCAACATGAACGGCAAAGCGGTACCTAGATCCTGGAACGCAATGCATCTGAGGAAATACTACCGCTAAAAACCTAAGGTACGCATGTACTCGAACTACGGGGTGGCTTGATCCCTGAAAAGGGTACGTAGGCAGCTCGTCCTCGGACGAGTTCAGCTACCCCCCTAATTAAAAAAGGGGGGAGTGGGTCCGTATACATATACTCCCACTTAACTAATTCTTTAGTTTTTACCCTTCGGGTCATTAATTTTATCCACCTCGACATCTATCCTAAAAGTCACCTCGGAAACTTTCACGGTCACCTTACCGACCTATAAAGCTAAAAGTTCGTTCGGACGATGGCCACGTCCCCGAACAGAAAAAGCTCTTTTCACCGCTTCGGTTACAGCGCGCTATATAAACGGTCGAGACGATTCGGTCGGAGATATCCTGCCATAAAGAAATTGTCTTCAGAAAACCCAGTTGACTTCGACACTGGTACCCCAGTCCGCTTCTAAGCACTGGCTTCGACTATATCAGCTCGGGTCGCAACCGATAAAGATTAGTCCTACTTAATCAAAACCCAGTTATCCTAACACTGGTACACGATTCGTTTCATTTTCGGCTCGGAAGTTAAGACGTTTGGATATGGCTTCTCAACGAGCAATTCTTAAACCCGGTTAACTTAACACCGGTGCATGATTCTTTTTGCTCTCGGCTCGAAGGATAAAACCAAATACTTGACATTAGTTTTGAATTCAGTTCGGGATAATGTTTAAAAAAAAAAAAAATAATACTTCGACATAATATTCAAAGGATAAAGCCATCCAGGCATAAGTTTTACAAAAAAAAAAGAAAAACAACAAAACAGAAGAAAAAGGAGTTTGAGACGCCTCGGGTTTATTCGTCTCGCTCTTCGGCATGCGTCGCCGCAGGATCCAGGAACGTTCCTGCTTGATCGGTAACTCCGATTTCGGTCGCGTCGCCTTCCACCGACCTATTTCCGAGGCTATCGTGAGCAGAGTCGGGTGAAACCGGGGGAACCTTCAAAGTTCCGAGCAATTCAACCGCGAGCCGAGAATACTCCGCTTCGGCATCCCCGAACTCTTCCTTCCATGCCTCCACCTCCTTCTTCTCATCCTCGATCGACTTTCCCCCTTCGAGCTCGGCGATCAGCTCGGCGTTCGCTTTGGCCTGGGAGAAGTACATGTAACGATCGGCGACTTGGTCAAACTGTTCCAGTTTCGCCTCGATCGTCCCGATCTGCTTGGCAAACTCCTCAGTAACCGCCCTTTTCGCAGCTTTCCTGGCTCGGGCTACCTCGACCTCCCGAAGAGACTTCTCCTCGGCGAGCAGGCGTTTGAGACGCTCGACCTCTGCTTCGGTTTTTTGCCGAATTCGAGCATTCTCCTTGGCCTCTTTCAGCCTCGCCTCTTGCTCAGCTGCGACAAGGGCCTCCGCATTTTCTTTCGCCGAAATCGCCTCGGCTATTCTCCTCTCCGACTCCGCACGGGCTATTTCAAGCCGCTCGTTGGCAGCTTCATGTTGACGGTTCGCAGATTCGTAAGAACGAACCAGCGTGTTCATTGAGGAGAAAGCCTGGGGATAAAATAACATGTTAGGAGCGGAAAAGAAATCGAAACAAGAGGCTCGGCAAAAAAAATCTTTACCTTCAGAAAATTAGCCGAAGTCTCGGCGTATCTCTCCGCCTCGGCCAGATTCTCAGGGGCCGTCAGCAACGGCCATGCGCACGAAGCAACAAGATTGGCCGAAGCCATCTTGTCCTTGTAAATCGGTCGAGAGCTGCCATGGTCGCTCTTCGACCTTTTCCTCCTATCGGCGGAGTGTTCACCCCGAGGGCGCTTTCCTTTAGACTTGGCCTGTCTGCCAGCAGCCAAGCCAACCACCACCTCGGTGTGTTCGACCTCGGGAGCCTGAACTCCACTGTCCCCAGCTGGGACATCGCCGACCGCTTCGGGAGGAACCGAAGCAACCGCTCGGACAACCCCAGATCGTTCGGGGCTCTTAACCGCTTCGGGCCTGCCAGACGCCTCCGGAAGATCGGACGCCTCGGGCCCTCTGGACCCCTCGCTCAACGGTCTGAAGGCCGCCTCGAGAGCTCTTTTCTGCTCGGCCGCTTCCTTCTCGGCAGCCTTTTTCTCCCTTAGTGTCATTTTCGCCTTTTGCATCTCCATGTAGCCACTTAGTCTGTGATCCGAAGAAGATGACGAGGACGAACAGGACACGCCTCGGAGTAATCTCAACGCTTTCTCAACTCTTTTAAGCGTGAAATGTTTGGTCCAGTTGCACTTCCGCGAAGCTAACTCCTCGTGAATTTCTAGAAGATCTTCGGGGATAAGCTCGAGGAACGCCGGGTTACGATCTGAAAACGAAAACAAAACCGGTTAGAATAAATCGATCCAATCCTCAAAAAAAAAAAAAAAAAAAAAAAAAAAAAAAAAAAAAAAAAAAAAAAAAAAAAAAAAAAACGCTTCGGGTAACCTACCGATTGTGCCCCATTTCGCAACAATTTTATCAAGGCACCCCTCGGGGACGGAATCCTCGTCAATCGCGGACGAAGAAGAAATGATCGGTGTATTTCTCGTCCTTGCTCGGGAACCCGCCAATGATCTTTTTATTCTTGCTCGGCGAGATGTAGTACTTTTCCAGAGGACCCGGGCTACGACGAACCTCCAGGAAATTCCTTAGATGCCCGAGGGACAAAACTTTGTCCGCCTCGAAACTCCTAACTAAAATCCCGATTAGATGCCGCAATCCGCGGGTTGAGATCTGGGCCAACGCAATCTTGTACGACCACAAATACTCGACGATCAGCCTCGGGAGAGGGAACCACAGGAAACAAAAACTGAAAAATCCCTCGTACAGCGTGAAGAACCCCTCGGGAGGATTATCGGCTCGTTCGCTCGGAGTCGGAAGCCTCATCGTTACTCCTTCGCTAAAACCAAACCGAGCTCTTAATTCCCTGAGGGAATCCTCGGTGGATAGCGTAGAACCAGGGGGGTCGGGCCTTTTTATTTTTCTGGCTCGCTTCGTCTTCAGCTGCAGAGCCTTAGCCGCCTGCATCCTGGCCTGAAGCATTCTCGCCTCTGCATCGGAATCATAGGAAACCGCCTCGGCCTTTACAGGGAGCGCAGACGGCTCGGGTGCCTTTTGCCAGCGAGAGCCCCCAGCTTCGTCCTTAGACGGAGGATGCGTTCTCCCCGTAATTAAAGTTGCCTCGGGATCATCCGGAAGATCCTCATCCCGAGCCACATTTGCAACTGTATCTTCCCGAGCCACGAATCGGCTCGGATCTTGGTCCATAGTTGACGACCTTGATTCGCTATCGCCGTTCCGCTCGGAGCGGTTTGAAAAACTAGCCTCGTTTCCTTCCGAGGGACTGCTCCAGACCATTTTCCTTTCGTGAACAGGAATGTTTCTGCCTCGGGACGAATCGCTCGAATCAGAGAGTGACATCTTCGGCTCGGGTGAATTAAAAAGAATCGGAAAAACAAGATTCGAAATCGGAAAAACCAAATCCAAGATCTGGCACGGCGGAGGGATAACGGAAAATAAAGCAAAGCAAGAGAAAATTAAAGAGCTCAAGATCAGAGAGAAAAGAAGCGAACCTTAGAAATTTTCCTTGCAGATTGCGAAATGAGAATCTGAAGCAAGAGTCGGGTATTTATAGATCGCTTCGGCGCGTCGGGTACACCAGTTAAATAATGTTTCGCATCCGCCCAAATCTCGGGCGCGTCGGGAGCGCGTGACTAACACTAAATTACTTCGCATCCGCACGGGTCTCGGGAATCAGCAGAAGACTCTTCCACTTCTCGAGGTAGAATCTCAACCGTCACACGCGTTAGGAGAAGATGAAGCGTCAAAGAGATTTGAATCGTCAAGAACACTAATTGCCGAATGACACTTTGCGAAACAAGGTTTAGAACGGCTCGGATTAACAGTCGTGAAGCTCATCGGTCGCTCTTCGAACCAACGAGCTGGGGGGCTAACTGTTGGGGTCGGATTTCATCCCATAGCACCGAGCCGAACTTCGAACGCCTCAGGGAATTTCTGAAGACACCTCGGGTCAAACTGCCATTCACCTCGGGTCGAACTGCCATTCACCTCGGGTCGGACTGTCATTCACCTCGGGTCAGATTGCCACTCACCTCGGGTCATCGCCTCAATCACTTCGGGGAAAACCCATAGTCTGCTCGGGCTCTGTCAGCAGGCTCGTGAACCCGAGCCGGCTCCCTTCAAGTGCCCGAGCCGTTTCACTTCGGGAAACCGAGCCGGTTTGTGTCGAGACCCCCGAGCTGGCTCTTTCCGTGAACCCGAGCCGCTTTCCCTCGGGAGCCTAGGCCACGTCTCTCTTGTTTCCGAGCCGGTTGCACAAGTTCTCTGAGGCGAAGCCTTCATCATCGCCCGAAGCAAAGACTTAGCGAATATTCTTCTCTAAAGGTATCATTTCCAAGCAAGTTATCATTTCCGAAAAAGAAGGATCATTTCCGATAAACTCGAAAATGATAAGGAAGAATCGCGAAGGATCAACTCAAATCAGGAAATCTTCCGGAAAACTCCGAAGAATAAGGAAATTGTCCTAATCCGCGATATTCTGGCCGACTTCAAGATAAATGGAAATCTTCCGAGAATATCGCTGGAGAGGCGGTTTATCGCCCCTATATAAAGAGATTCAAGGCTCAAGCAAAAGAGAGGCAATATCGCTCTAGAAATTACACTACGCAAAGCTCTCACAGCACAAACACTTTTTCTTTTACGATCAAACTCTTGTACGATCAAAGTCATCTTTTTTCATTAATAATATCAAGAACACCATCTTTGGTATCAATCGTTTCTGTTGTTCTTTGAGAATTCGCGATTATCGTATCCCTAAAATAAAACCCTAGACAAATCTTGATTGTGTTAGTTTCGACTTCCACAATCCAAATTACATATAAATAATCACAACCATAACTATATATCTTGATGTTGTTTGTGACAAATACTAATTAAAGATGACATAAATTACATAACCTTAAGCAAAAGTTTGTTAGAAATAAATTAGTGAAATTCAAAGATTCTTCTTCTTCTTCTGGGTATAGATGTAGTCAGTATGAGCGACCAAAGTCCTCCTCATTAAGCAATCTTCGTCGTCGGAACCACAGTTTTCTTCTACCATGTCATCTAATTTTCCTTCTATTTTCTTCTCCTGCCAAATTAATCATACATTACAAAACTTTTAACTAAACATATTTGATGTGTTAAGTATTTTTCTTAAAAGAATTAGGACCTCTGATATATACACAAATCCGAATTCACCGGTTTCACATGCTAAGAAATGGCTATAATTACATGCATGCATATATGTTTGTGATTATATATAAATATGTATGGAAATTGAGTCATGGCATTGGCATGTGGATTAGACTAACCATGTTACATGGATCGGCAGCAGTCGTGATAGAGACGGATATGGCCGGTTCGGGGCGGGCAGTGCACATTAGCGTGGAGCACAGGAGAAGAGCTATCGTGAGCAGGGCGGAGACGTTTGCCATTTTTGTGATATTTTCTTTGAAGGGAAAGAGATCCTTAAAGAAGAGGTGTTGACGGGTTTGGTTTATGTGAAACTCAAATTTATAGCCAAATTTTAGTCAAATCTATTTTTGTTTTGATCATTTTTTTTATTATTATATAGCAAAAATGGGATCTTATCGCACGTTGATAACTTCAAATTTTCTATTTTATTTATGGATAGTCTAATTGTGGAGTTTGGTGGACTCATTAGTCTCATTTGACCGATGAAATCGGGAGTGGAATTAAATTAAATATTTTTTTGCAGTTGTGCATAGTGTTTTGTGGTGGAATTGGACCAAACCCATAAAACAACTAAATCAAAATATAAGTCGCAGCGTGTATGAAACGTGGGATGATAGAGTGATAATCATCATCCACTTCTTAAAAGCATTTACAAATTAGTCCATTTTAATTTATTCAAAAGTTATATGGCGTCACCTACCTACATAAGCAAAATATCATTTGACTACATGATATATGCAAATTTATAAGCACTATAGATTCCCACACGGATGTAATGGATCTACCAATATATGGTGTAGTCGACATTGAATTAATGTAGTTGATAAAAGTATCAATATGGTGAGTGGTGATAACAAAATGGATAGCACAAATTTAACAAAGGATTACAAAAATCAACTGTGATAAGTATCATTAGTGCAGATCAAGCAGGACGGATTAAGGAACGGTACAAAACAGGCTAAAATGGTAACTATGATAAATGGAATAAAAATATAATAGTCATTAAACTATGAGTAAATTATATTAGCATTTTGAATGATGAAAAAAACAGTTTATGAACAAAATTATAATGATCGATAAAATTAAACCGAGCAATTTTTTAGAGTTTTTATTAAAGAAAAACGTACCTTAACATAGGCATGACCACGGTTACGGTTATTGCGGTTACGGTTTATTAACCGCCGGTTACGATTATAAAAATTTTCTAACCTATACGGTTAAAACGGTTACGGTTAAATACGGTTACGGTTACAACGGTTACGGTTAAATATGGTTACGGTTATTTAATTATTACGATACGGTTAATATCAAAGACAAAAGCTTAGGTATTTTTAACCTACCTTAACACATCAAATATCTTGTATATTGAAAATTATGTGTGAATAACTATTTTTCTTTGTAAAAATGTTTCGCTTCAAAATCGGTTGAACATTTCTATTACTTTTGTTCTCATTTTTTAAAAACGTATTATTTTGGGATATATTTGATGAAGAAGAAAAAAAAAAAGCGGCTTCCATTTTCCCCATTCATAGCTTAAATGATAGAAAAAAAAAGGAACAATTTTAAATCAAATTGCGCAATTTATCATACATATCTTATTTCTATTTGGAAAAATTACTCAGATGTTATACAAATTAAAGGGGTGTTATTCAATGGTGGAGTTAAAGTCAATTCTTTAAGGGGGTGTTATTCAATGGTGGAGTTAAAGTCAATTTTTTAAGGTTTAGATTTGTTTTCTGACATTGGTTTTAAGAATCTGTTTGTGTGGATTTCAAAATCTCTGCAGTATATCTTGGATTTTGATTCTAATAATTTACTCATGAAACTCCAAAGAGGTTTCATTTGAAATGACTTAATATACAAAGATTTTACAAGTCTTTTAGTTTTGAATAACACTGGATTTTACAAACCTTAAAGAATTGACTTTAACTCTACCATTGAATAACACCAAACTTTTAAAATCTAATGAAGTATAAGATCTAATAACACCAGATTTTAACGTTAGATTTATAATCACTAGTTGAATAACACTGGATTAGTGTTGGATTTCAATTATATTAAAATCCATCATTGAATAACACCACCTAAGTGAAATGACTAGAAACATACATATCTTTATTATTATTATTATTATATTTCGGGTATATTTTTTATACCCAGCGTGCCCCTGTTAAATGTTATAGGAAAAAACGTAATTACAAAGAATGTCACTGCCACGTCAGCAAAGCCGCGTCGCCACGTCAGAAATCGCTGACGTGTATTAATGAACTCAGCCGTAAAGCGATACAGCAGTAGTGACAGCTGAGTTACGGTATGTTTCGGCTGATTTAAGGAAAACGGCTGAGTTATGAGCAAACAGCTGACTTACGAGTATAACTCAGCCTGGAGTTACGGCTGACTTACTGAAATCTGTCTGAGTTATGAGAAAATGGTTGACTTTCGAGTTTAACCCAGCCTAAATTACGGCTGAGTTTTCACCCGATGATTGATTTGTCAAATTTTTGGCTGAGTTATTGCTTCAACACGGCTGACTTAACTTTCTCCGGCTAGCTGAGTTATTAAAGACGACTTAGTTATGGGATGACGTTACGGCTGATTTATGTTTGAGTGTCATAAATCAGCCGTAATGAGCTAGATTAACGGAAAACTCGGACTAATTACGGCTGACTTAGTAGCGAAAGATTAATTACTAGAATAGCATGCAATGATGGGCGACTTATTAAACGACACGGCTGAGTTAAAGATTTTTGGTTGAGTTGCGACATTAAACGGCTGAATTTGGCTGCCCTTTTTTTTGTTTTTTTAATTATTGTAATAGTATTCATGTTGCGACTGAGTTAAAGTTTTGTTTGATTGCTGGTTTAATTAGGCTGATTTACATTTTCGTTTGGTGGCTTACTTGCCACTTCATCAATTAAAAAATGACGTTGGATGCAACATTCCATGTCATCATTCCATGTCATCATCATCAAGGGAAATACAAAAGGTCTTTTTTTGACTCGTCTTTTTCTTCATCGTGTCGATCTTCACCTGTATTTTTCACATCACCAGAACTTAAATTTCACTCGACTCTTCATCGTCTTACTCCTTCTTCTTCATTTTCGTTCATCCTTATCCCGATATGACTGATCCAGTTCTGGTAATTGTTGTTTCCGGTAATTGGATAAAAAACAAAATTATGTATTTAACACCGACGATAGAAGGTGTAGAGTTGTGCAGATAGATGCGGAAACAATGCACGACAACTTTGTGAAGTTGGTGTTTGATGACTACGGATTGAAGGAGTTGAGCCATCAGTTAAAGCTGAGCTACACATGTTCTCGATGTAAACAAGTTGAGCATAATGCTAAAACTTGCCCGACGTAGTATTGTTTGCAGGAATTTTCTTTTCGGATAATGGCGAACATGACTGTTGGTTTATGTGTTTTATGTCTATTCGTGACAAATCAGCAATAATGTTATCCTAACTCAGCCGCAATGCTCCAATAAATCAGTTGTGAAACACTATAACTCAGCCGTGATATATAAAAAAACTAGAAATAATAATTAATAAAAGAAAAATCGGAAAATAAATTAATTAGCAAACTGAAAATAACAGTTGATGCTAGTATTAAATTTTATCATTTAGTACATTGAAGATAAGTCAGCCGTGAAGCATTATAACTCAGCCGTAATATGTAAATTTACGCAACCTTTCATCTTCCGTGAAGCATTATAACTCAGCCGTGACATGTAAATTTACGCAACCTTTCGTCTTCCGTGAAGCATTATAACTTAGCCGTGACATGTAAATTTACGCAACTTTTCGTCTTCCGGAAAGCATATAACTCAGCCGAAAGTTAATGACGTGACTTTAATTTTATTTCTTTTAGTGACATGGATTAAAAAAAGAATAAAAAAATCTCAATTAAAAAAAAACTAATCAAGGGTGTTAATTGTAATTTACACAAGGACGCTAAACATATGAGTAATTTAAAAAAAATGTATGATATGCTAGTAATATTCCAACCTTTCTATAAGATCTGAGTAAATATTTCTATTTCTTGTATATGTAACTTTTGTTTGTATACCAAATTTGTGAATTCTTTGGATAGTTGAATGCCTAAAAACTAATACGAACAAACAAATGTTTTTGAACGTTGAGAACACTCTTATCACTAGCAAACACGTCCCCACCCGGCCACCCGAGTCGTATGACATGGTGTTGTTATCATCTGTTTGGAACGCACCAAATTCAAAAGCGTGTCTTGGAGAGTCGGTGTGTGACTTATCATATAAATAACCAAAAAAAAAATTTAATAGAAGAAAATTTCATATAAAGAAAATCATATCTTAGATTTTTCTTTTGATGAAACATATCTTACATTCAACTCTTCGCTAGACTTAATATGTTAATCTTTTTGGGTCATTCGGACAAACTCGAGTTTTATGTTGGATTTTTAATCATATTAAATCGCTCAAAGTACATTGACAGTGATTATCATACTATACTTGAAACTCTGTTATAAATATCAAAAATGGTATCTATATAAGTATCATATCTCAAAAGTTTCATATATTATATGAGTATCATATCTTTGGATAAATTTGTTGAACTTATTATCATTGTGGTTTAAGTTGATCTATGACTTATAAGAAGGTGTGTATATATACATACATACATATAACTAAATTGTAGGGACATATTTTTTAAGATCTACTAAAAAGTTACTTTTCTTTGGAGAATGTTGTTTTTGTTGGATTTGAAGGACTCTTACAAACTCAACCATATATTTTTGTGAATGGTGAACCAAAATCTGACAAAAGATCTCAGCGTCTTAAAGTGTGAACCATGTGTGAGTGTTTTTATTCAATTTATTTTGCATGGCATCTTCCAATTGGGGAAGAAGTATTTATCTTATCTAGGTCGGAAGACCAGTTTTTAACCAAGTAAAAAAGGTTATGATATATCAAAATCACACAAGAAAAAATATTTAGAATTAGACCATGAAAATCAAATCAACCATGAACTTATATTCTTTATTTCACTCTTTACTATGTTATTAACTTTTTTGTCTACTAGCCTATTTTCGGTTTCGAACCTAAACAAGTTTGGAAACAAAAGTTTATATATATCCGATCGGCTGATCCGGTAGAAGCGCACTGAAGTACTAAATAGTAAATTTTCCAAGCAAAACTACCATATTATTTATTCCGAGTCTAGAATAGTTTTTAAATAATGTTCGGAGATATCCAATTAGTCTAATCTTGAATATCATATGAATTGCTAAGGTCTTTGGTCCAAACCTACCCATATATATATATATATATATATATA